GAGAGCAGAAGCCAGGGCTGGGGACTCAGAAGGCAGACACCCCAGGCTTCCTGTCCTGAGTCATTCCCTCACACAGCGGAGGACATCTTTCCCACATAGACATTTGCCTTGCCTGGGGGGAAGACAGTCAACACACCCTATTGGAAAACACCTTGCCCTGAGGTCACTTAAGAGTGGTTCTCAACCTTCTGGCCCTTTAAATACAATTTCTCATGTTGTGACCCAACCATAAAATTATTTTCATTGCTACTTCATAACTGTAATTTTGCTACTGTTATGAATCATAATGTAAATATCTGATATGCAGGATGGTCTTAGGCGACCCCTGTGAAAGGGTCATTCGACCGCCAAAGGGGTCGTGACCCACAGGTTGAGAACCGCTGACTTAAGAGATTAAAAATAACAACCTCCAGGCAGAATCAACTGCCTGACCTGTTGAAAAAAACTCTCTCCACACCTGAGGACGGTTACCTGGGGGGCGCAATTCAAATCAGAATCCTATCAGTCCATAGGCAGAGGTGGTCTCTGGAGTCTTTGAGTCTATTCCTAATCTAATTAGTCAGAAACAACCTTTAACACTGTCCTGCACTAGAGATTGAGAGTATAGAGGATCTACCTAATACATAGTCACAAACCCAAACAGACAACCAAATGAGGAAACAAAGAAACAACCCCAAAATGAAAGAGCTAGAGAATTCTCCAGAAGAAGAGATAAATGAAGCAGAGATAGAGCAAATGGAGATAATTGACATTTACAGAACCTTTCATCCCAGAACATCAGACTATACCAGCCGTGGACAAACTACTGCCCGCGGGCCGGATCCGGCCTGTTTGAAATGAATAAAACTAAAAAAAAAAAAACCGTACCCTTTTATGTAATGATGTTTACTTTGAATTTATATTAGTTCACACAAACACTCCATCCATGCTTTTGTTCCGGCCCTCCGGTCCAGTTTAAGAACCCATTGTGGCCCTCGAGTCAAAAAGTTTGCCCACCCCTGGACATTCTTCTCCAGTGCACATGGAATATTCTCAAGGATAGACCATATATTGGGTCACAAAACTAGCATCAACAAATTCAAGAAGATTGAAATTATACCAAGCATATTCTCTGACCACAATGCCTTCAAATTAGAAATCAACTGCAAAAAGGGAGTAAAACAACTTAAAAATACATGGAGATTATACAACATACTACTAAAAAATAACTGGGTCAACGAAGAAATAAAAGATGAGATCAAAAGATATATAGAGAGACAAATGAGATTGACAATATAACACATGAAAACTTCTGTGATTCAGCGAAAGCAGTAATAAGAGGGAATTTTATATTAAAGAAACCCCAGTAAACAATCTGACATCACATCTTAAAGAACTAGAAAAAGAACAAAAGCAACCCAAAGTCAGCAGAATAAAGGAAATAAAAATTAGAGCAGAATTGAATTGAATAGAGAACAAAAAGACTATGCAAAATATTTATAAAACAATGAGCTGGTTCTTGAAAAAAAATTAATAAAATTGACAAGCCCCTGGCTAGACTCACTAAAGAAAAAAGGGAAAAGACCATATAAACAAAATGAGAAGTAAGGGAGGACAATTTACCACAGAAATCATAGATATACAAAGTTTCCTCCTAGAATACTATGACAAACTATATGCCACCAAACTCAACAACCCAGAAGAAATGGATAAGTTCCTAGAATTATATAACCTTCCTATATTAAATCATGAAGAACTGGAAAATCTAAATAGACCTATCAGTAGTGAGGAAATTGAAACACCCATCAACTACCCCCGCCCCCCCCAAAAGTCCAGGACCAAATGGCTTCACCAGTGAATATTCAAAGAAGATTTAAAACCTGTCCTTCTCAAATTCTTCCAAAAAAACTGAAGAAGAGGCAATACTTCCTAACACATTCTATGAGGCCAACATAACCCTGATACCAAAAATCTGGCGAAGATAAGACAAAAAAAGAAAACTACAGACCAATATCCCTGATGAATACGGATGGAAAAATCCTAAACAGAATACTAGCTAATCAAATACAACAGTACATCCACAATTTCATACATCAGGATCAAGTGAGGTTCATTCCAGGGCACAAGGATGGTTCAACATACGCAAATCAACCAATTAATACACCACATTAACAAAAGAAAGCTAAAAATCATATGATCTTATCAATAGATGCAGAAAAAGCATTTGACAAGATATAATATCCAACTATGGTTAAAACAATAAAATAGGAATAGAGGGAAAGTACTTCAACGTAACAAAGGCCATGTATGATAAACCCTCAGCTGATATCATACTGGATGGTGAAAAACTGAAAGCTTTTCTCCTAAGATCAGGAACAAGATGAGGATGCCCACTCTCACCACTCTTATTCCACATAGTGCTGGAAGGTCTAGCCAGAGCAATGAGGTAAGAGAAAGAAATAAAAGGCACCCAAATAGGGAAGGAAGAAGTCAAACTGTCACTTTGTTGTGAATGACATGATCCTTTAATAGAAAACCCTAAAGACTCCTCCAAAAAATATTAAAAACAATAAACAAATACAGTCAAGTTGCAAGATACAAAATCAATGTGCAAAAATCCATTGCCTTCCTGTATACTAACAACAAAACTTCAGAAAAAGAAATTTGAAAAGCAATTAATTTTGCAATTGCAACCAAAAGAATAAAATACCTAGGAATAAACTTAACAAAGAATGTGAAATACCTATATACTGAAAATTATAAATCATTATTAGAAGAGGTTGAAAAAGACAACAAAATGGAAAAAATATCCGGTGTTCATGGATTGGAAGAATCAACATAGTTAAAATGGCCATATTACCCAGAGCAATAAACAGATTTAATGCAATCCCCATCAAAATTCCAATGTCATTTTTAAAAGAAATAAAGCAAGAAATCATCAGATTTGTATGGGACCACAAAAGACCCTGAATAGCCAATGCAATCCTGAGAAAAAAGAACGAAGCTGGAGGTATCACAATACCTGACTTCAAATTATGCTACAGAAATGTGGTAATCAAAATAGCATGGCATTGGCAGAGAAACAGACACATAGATCAGTGGAACAGAATAGAGAGCCCAGCTATAAAATACACGTGTATGGACAGAAATTTTCAACAAAGGAGCCAGAAACACACAATAGAGTAAATATAGTCTCTTCAATCAATGGTGCTGGGAAAACTGGAAAGCCACATGCAAAAGAATGAACCTGGATTACAGTCTGCCCCCAGATACAAAAATTAATTCAAAATGGACCAAAGACCTAAATATAAAACCTGAAACAATAAGGTACGTAGAAGAAAACATAGGTACCAAGCATATGGACCTTGATCGTAGAGAACATTTTATGAACTTGACCCCAAAGGCAAGGGAAGTAAAGGCAAAAATAAATGAATGGGACTATATCTAACTAAAAAGCTTCTGCACAGCAAAAGAAACTGACAACAAAACAAAGAGGCAACCAATCAGATGGGAAATGATATTTGAAAACAGTAGCTCTGACCAAGATTTAATTTCCAAAATATATAAAGAACTCATAAAACTCAACACTGAATCCTATCTAATAAAAGACAAAAAGGGTAATTAACCGTACCTCCGCTACGCTTCCCATCGGCTAATCAGCGCCATATGCAAATTAACTGCCATCCAAGATGGCGGCTAATTTGCATACTGCAGGCAGGGCTGGCCAGCGCCAGACACCATCCAGGTGGGGTGTGGCCCTGGGCGGCTGGGCTTAGGCGGTGCAATCGCGTCACCTAAGCCCCGCCCCAGCTGGGACCCCCGTGTGCCGCCTAAGCCCCGCGCCACCTAAGCCCCACTGCCAGCTGGGACCCCATTGCGATCCCAGAGCAGGCAAGTGCAGAGGGCGGGTGGCCCCCAGCTGAGCCTGCTCCTGGGATCGCCATGGCAGGAAAGTTCCCCACAGGCAGCACCCAGCAGGGCCTGCCCCCGGTCTCTGAATTGATCCGGTGATCCATCAGCAGAAAAGCGCAGCCTGCAGGCAGCACCCCACCCTGGCCACAGCTCAAGGGAGAGAAAAACACGCAGTGGAGGCCAGGAGCCTGAGAGATCAACACAGAGGGGCGCCTGCTCCAAGCCTCCATAGTGTGACTGGTGGCAGGCCCCCAGCAGACACACATACACACACACACAGGACGCCTGCTCCGAGCCTCTGCTGCCAGACTGTGGCCGTCAGTAGGACATCCACTGAGGGCTCCTGGACTGTGAGAAGGGCAGGTTGGGCTGAGGGAACCCCCCCCCCTAGTGCACGAATTTCGTGCACCGGGCCTCTAGTAACCAAATAAAAGCACAGGCAGAGGACCTGAAAATATGCCTCTCCCAAGATGACATAGGAACAGCCAATAGATATATGAAAAGATGTTCAGCCTCACTGGCCATTAGGGAAATGCCAATCAAAACTACAATGAGATACCACCTCACACCTGTTGGAGGGGCCATTGTCAAGAAGACAAACAATAACAAGTGTTGGAGAAAAGGGAACCCTCATTCACTGCTGGTGGGAATGTGGACTGTGCAGCCACTATGGAAACAGTCTGGCGATTCCTCAAAAAATTAAGAATAGAGCGACCATAGGACCCAGCAATCCCTCTCCTGGGGATATACCCGAAAAACTCGAAATCACAAAGATACATGCAGCCCTGTGTTCATTGCAGCATTGTTCATGGTGGGCAAGACATGGAAAAATCACAGTGTCCCATGATAGAGGACTAGATAGAGAAGTTGTCCATATGTACAAAGGAATACTACTCAGCCATTCAACATGGATGGGCCTTGAGAACATTCTGGTAAGTCAGACAGAAAAAGCTAAGAACCATATGATCTCACTCAGATGTGGGGTATAAAAGGTATAAAACTGAAACTCCTGGACATAAACACCAGTGTGGTGATTGCCAGCAGGAAGAGGGTGGGGGGAGATGGGTGGTCCTAATATGAGGTGACAGGAGAAGATGTGACTCTGGGTGGTGGGCACACAGTGCAATATACAGATCTTGTAACATAGAAACCCACACCTGAAACCTATATGTTTATGTTGACCAATGCCACCTCAATCAATTTAATTTTAAAAAGTAGTTTCGGTCAATTATCTCTGTTTTTGGAAATTGAATTGCTTTTTGTAAAAATGAATATAAAATTGCCCGATGAGTAAAATGTTTAAATTGCCCGATTAGTAATGGAAAAAAAAAAGAAAAGTAGTTTCGGGAGAAACCAAGATGGCGGCATAGGTAAACACCTGAAATTGCTGCCTCGTACAACCACTTCAAAACTACAACTAAAAGACAAAATGGACACCATCCAGAACTACAGGAAGGCTGGCTGAGTGGAAATTCTACAACTAGAAGGAAAGAGAAAAGCACACTGAGACTCAGAGGAGGTGCAGAAGTAAAGTGCAGAGGTACGGAGGCG